AGAGTAAGAGATGACCTTAGGAGATAACTATAGAAAGGAAGGTCAGCCCCTGACAAACCAGCAAAGGTATTCTGACAGTGGAGTGCATGGAAAATACCCTTGGCCAGTGTCTGGAAGCAGACCTAGATTCCTGGATGAATCAACCCTTGGATCCTGTCTGTCATCACTGCCAGGGAGCATGAACACACACCCCCACAGCTGCATCTCTCCAGCACTGAGATCAGCACATCAGGGTTGAGAGAAGGTAGGAAGGCAGGGATTCTGCTTGTACTGACCTCAGTGCTGTGGTCACTCCCTCCAGACCCAAAGCACCTGACAGACACCCCCAATTAGAACACTAGCCATGCCAGGGAATTCAGGGGGGAGAGTCTCTGGTGGGTGAGATAAACCTGTCTAGTCCAAAAATTGCAAGGATTTAAATTTTTGTATCTCTTGTTTTCTTTAAAAGAAAATTAGTTTTTCCCATTTCCCTACCTTCCCCCTCCCGATCTTAATCACTTACTGTTTCCACACTTAAAATAATTTGTGAATTTATAATACATTCTAATTTTTTCATTTTCCATTTTTTGATGATCGGTGACATGTTTGTAGGTATTGATTGCTTTTCAGTGAATTTTTAGATCTTGTACATCTTTCTTTTTTTCTCTCTCTCTGGGCAGAATTGGTGATTAAGCATTCAACACTCAAAAGCAGGCTGCTCTAATAAGAGCCACCAATGAGAGCTCACTGGTTTAGAGCATGTGTTGGCTTTCCAGAGAATTTGTGTTCAGTTCCCAGTACTCATGTGGTGGCTCACAACCACCCTCGAAAGCACTCCAGTTCCAGAGAATTGGTGCTAGTTTGGTTTCAGACCCTGTGGCCAAGAGACTGAGGTGCATATCTCACATACCAAAGCAGACTTGACCTCCAGGTTCTCCCAGCATCCCTCAGTCCCCTATCCCCAACCCTGAACTTTCCAGCCCAGGGGCTGGGCTGCCTGCCCTTCCCCCAGAGCCTCTGTCCTATATAATCCAGACATTTTGGTCTCCTCTCACTCTGGCCTCTTCTTTTCCCTCTCTTCTCTCTCTGAGCACATGCCCTTTCTCTCTCCCCCTAACCCTGGGACCCCCCATGGTGACTTCCCTGGCCTCAATCTGTGGAGACAGTGAACTCTCTGGAGAGCAGCTTCTCAACAAACCTGCATTTAATATAATATAGTCTGGCTTGAATTGGCTCGTTTCACCAGCGGAGCAATAACTGATCAGTGTTCTCTTCTGACTCCACAGGCACCAGGCAAGAGCATGGTGCCCTTACCTACATACAGGCAAAACACTCATATACATAAGTAAAAACAAATCTGAAAAATTCTTTTGACCCACAAATAAAGCCCAAAGTGACTTCTAAACAAGACATGACTTCTCCAGAAGATGACACCTCCTCAACTTCTGAATTCAGATTCTGAAATAGGTAGGAGGTCAGTCAGAGATCACAAAAATCAGTAGAAAAACTGATCGTTGACCTCAAAGATACAAATAATCAGATGAATTAAATACAGGACCCAGAGAGTAAATTTGGCAACAACAGAGGGGAAAACACAATAAAATGAATTGAGGGAGCAGGGACTGGGGGGGGGGCCCTCAGGGTATGGATGAAAAAAAAATCATCAATGACCAGGTAATACATTTTTTTCCTGAAAATATCTCTAAACTCCTTGCAACCAAGTTAATAATAGGCTGAAAGAGATCAAAAAGTTAAAATCAATCACAAACAAGACAAATATTCCCTAAATGTTGGAGGCAACATGTGGATATAGGTTAGTAATTTGTATTTGCAGTCTGAGTGCTATTCTGGGTGAGTTGTATTAGTACATAGTTTCTTCCCTTGTAAAACTCTGTAAGAAGTCCCTCATCTACTCCTATGCTCTGCTTTCTGTGCTAGTCAATAAACACAGAGTTTTGCTCTGCCTTTTATAAGTAGCAGGCAGAAGACACAGGGGTTTGAAGTAGAGAATCCAAACTTATGCTTCCTCTTGGTCAAACTACTCCAAGAGAAAGAGAACGTGCACAAGGAAATGGAGATTTCAAAAAGATAGAAATGTTAGAAAAGAAAGATTCAATGAACCAAATTGCAAATGTAGAGAAAAGTCTCACCAACAGACTCAACCAAGAAGAGAGAATATTAAACACAGAAGATAAAGGCAACACCAGCAAACAACAACAAACAGACCTGAGCATGACCACAAAGTCCAAGACTGTGGAATGGGATCTAAAGAATTAACCTCAGACTGTACAGACAGCTCAGAGGTTAAGAGCATTGTCTCATGCTCTTCCAGAGGTTCAGAGTTCAATTCCCAGCAACTACATAGGATCTGATGCCCTCTTCTGGCATGCAGATGAACATGCAGATAGAACTCATACATAAAATTAGTTTAAAATAAACAGAAATCAAACGAACAAACCTCAGAATCCAATGGGTAGCAGGAGCTAAGATTAAAAGCTAATTTGTTCAACAGGTAATTTGTTCAACAAAATTACAGCAGAATTTTCTCAAAACCAGATAAAGAAATAGACATTTAAAGATAAGAGGCATTTCTAACCCCAAGTAGACAAGACCAGAGAAGAACGTCCTCACAACATACTGTAATCAATACATCAAAAGCACAAAGCAAAGAGTCAATATTAAGATCTCTAAGGGAAAAGCACGAGGTTGCCTATAAAGGCAAACACCAGCTCTCATACTAAAAGGCAGGTATCCATGTAGTGATGGAATCCCAAAAGTATATAACTGCCATCCAAAATGTTACACCCAGCAAAGCTATCTCTCAAAGTTGGCGGAGACAAGCACATGCTAAGGTGGTTCATGATCCCCCAACCCTTAGCTGCTGGAGACATTTAATATTATATACAGATACAGACAGTATGAAAAGAATCTGAATCAAGACAGCACAGGAAGGAGTGAAATTCATGCAGGGGATAAACAACAATGGAAAGCTAGAACACTGAATGAGCAGAAGAAAAGCACAGGACTGGAAAGTGGGCTCAGCATTTAGGAACACATGCTGCCAGTGCAACCAGAGGACCCTGGTTTGATCCCCAGGACCCACATGGTAGCTTAGAACATCTCTAACCCCAGTTTTAGTGGAACCAAGGCTATCTTCTGACCTTTGAGGGCTCCAGGAATGCATGTGGTATACATACATGCATACAAACAAGCAAAACACTCATATACATAAAATAAATATTTTAAAAATGAAAACGACGTAACCAACCAGAAAACAAACAAATAAAGTTACTGGAATTAGTAAACAATGCCTTTCATGTAATTGCTTCCTATCACCAGTAAAGAAATGCAAACTAGTTAACCAGATTAAAATCAAGACCACTGTTAATTGTCTACAAAAAAAAGCAACGCAAAACAAACCACCACCGCACCTCATCAGTAAAGACACCCACATACAGTCAAAGTTTGAAAGCCAGTCTTTCAAGCCTAGTGGAAGCTGAAAGCAAGCAGGTGTAGTAATCCTGAGATTTGATAGAGAAGATTTCAAATTGAAATTAGGCAGGAGAGATGATGAAAGCTACTACCTGTTAATAAAGAAAAGAAAACTCATTGGGAAGAAATAACAACTGTAACTATAGATGCACTGCGTGGTGGGGCCACCAATGCCATAAACAGAGACTAGTGAGCATCACATGTTTGATTGATACAGTAACAGTGGGTAACATCAATGCCGTATTCTCATACTTAACTAGGTCATCCAAAGCAAGGGGGGAAAAACAAAAACAAAACAAGCAACAGTAAAGGAAGCCTCTGGGTTAAGTCATACCATAGATCAAATTGACTTAACAGATAGATACAGAGTGTTCATTCAGTCCAACAGTTGTGGAATACACATTTCTTTTTCAATAGCCTGTGGAACATCCACTAAAATAGAACATGTTAGGCAGTCAAGTCTTAACAAGTACAACATAATCACGATAATTTCTAGTAATTTAGGAGTGGTGTAGAATGAGAGATAGATAGCAAGAGAAGCCACAGAAAGTAGACAAATACTAGGAAAATGAAAAATATGCTATCAAATGACCAGCAGATCATCAGCAAATGCTTCTATATGCAAATAAAGCACAATTTATCAGCACTTTTGAGATAGAAACAAGACAGCTAGTTCTAAGAGATCAAGTTTATAGCTTTAAATGCTTACATTATGAAAAATATTAAGAGATATTTCAAATAAAAAAAAACAGTGATAAACCTCGAGGTTTTAGAAAACCAAGAACAACCTAAACCCCCCAAAGCAATAAGAGGCTAGAAATAAAAATGGTGAGGGCAGAAACCAATGAAAGAACAACATGTTGAATCAATTAAATACAAAATTGGATGTTTGAAGATATAAATAGTGTATATGTGTGTGTGTATACACATATACACATATATACACATATGAATATATATATGTAACATCATATATATATATATATATATATATATATATATATATATATATATGATGTTAGAACAAAATCCAAAGAAATCTAGTGTCTCAATTAGGGAGCTTTTTGAAAATACAATCCTAAAACCTGGACAGTCTAGGAGAAATGAGTAAATCCCTATACAAATATAACTCACTTAAATTAAATCAAGAAGATATCAACAACTTAAACAGTTCCATAAGCAAAAGGAGTCAGGCAGTGATGAAAACATCTCCCCACAAAGAAGAGCTTCGTACAGGGGCTCACTGCTGGATTCCACCAGGTCTTCAAGTCATCCCTGTCACTCCTCAAGCTGTTCCCAAGACAGACCAGGAGGAACATTCGCAGGGGACTCATTCTGTGAAGCCAGTATTGCCCTGACACACAAACCAGATAAGGACACAGATGCAAACAGAAGACTGTAGATCACTTCTCCTGAGCACAGGTGAATAAAATATTGGCAGGCCTGAAGAGATGGCTCAGTGGTTAAGAGCATGCACTGCTTGCTCTTACAGAGGACCTCAGTTCTCGAATCCACACCGAGGTACTTACATGGTGCTTACAACTCCTGGAACTCCAGCTCCACAGGATCTGATGTCTCTCAGCATACCAGCACTCATGTGTACATACCTGCATAAAGAGACGGACACATAATAAAAATAAAGTAAATATTTTAAAAACTAACATATTTGCCCAAACTCTTCATGAAAACATGAAGATCATATCCCATGATTAAGTTGGTTCCACCTCAGGAATTCCAGGTTGGTTCAACATACACAAACCAATCAAGGCAATATAAAACATATAGGGGCTTAAGGCTAGAAAATACACAATTCATAGACAGAGAAACAGCTTTTGGGCAACTTCATCATCTCCTCATGATAAAAATCCCTGAATATGTAAGAATATAAGAAACATTTCTTCACATAAAGACGATACAGGACAAACCTGTCAACTGACATTATACTAAATGGGGAAAAATTGTCAAAAAAAAGTCGAAAACAAGACTCTCTCCCTCTCCCTCTCCCCCTGCCCCTCCCACTCTCCCTCTCTCTCTCTGTGGTGTGTGTGTGTGTGAGTGTGTGTGTGTGTGTGTGTGTGTGCATGTAGTATTATTCAACATGGTGTCCAAGTTGGGGAAACTTTTAGAAAAGAGATTGAAGGGAAGTTGAAGACCTGAACAACAATTCTCTTGTGTTTTAACTGCACTATGCATTCCTGGAAGTTTGCAAAAATCTTCACCCTCATCACTGTATATGGTCCTCTTTCCCCAAACTGTCACAGTGACCAGTTCCGAGCCTCTCACCCAAATTTCTTTTCCTCATCAGCCACTGGCCTCCAAGAGCCCAGGCTCCATATTCTGTGTCAGCACCTGTCCTTCACTTTAGCAAATATCCATGGCTTCAGGCAAAATGATCTGATAAAAGCATTCAGTTGATTTACCTGGCAGTCCCTGAGAGTGACAGCTTGCCCAGGTTTTTCAACAGCGGTCAGATTATTCAAAGAGAAACTTAGTTATAAAAAGGAATTTGAGAAATACATTTTCAGTATGGATTTCTAGGTGATTGAATACTGATTTTTGATCACCATACTGGGGAAAGGATAACTCATTTTAATCTTCTGGTAGTGCCAAACGGGATAAAGTCGGTGATCTTAGCTTGTGGCTCATACTGCAGTGTTGAAATATAGGGAGAGCAGGACCCTGAAAAACTTTAAGCTAAAACCTTGTATTCCTTGAAATTCCACTCAAGTCTTTGAAGATATTTCTAGTCTGTTTTGAGTTTCAGATATGTTTCCACAAACAAAATAAAGGTTCATGAAGTAATACTGATACCTAGCTGAGCACTGTAGAGACTGATTAGAAGCCACGAGATGCTGAAGGTTGTTTCAGGTCACACTGCAGTACACTGGGACTTAAAGTAGTCAGGTTGTAGGAGAGAAGAAAACATTCTGTCTTAGATAATGCTTCCCTCACTCCGGCTTACCATGAATTATAGAAGTTTGCTCCCTGAGTCTGGGGTTTTAAAACGTGTCTTCCAAAATGGGCAGGAAAATGTCTTTCTGCTGCCTGTGTCCACCAATTCAACAAACAACTTCAAATATTTACCTCTGAGTATAGATTTATAGGAGAGATAGCAAAATATACCTTTTGAATCCCACTGCAATCATGACATTCAAATGACCTGACCATGCAGCACTAGAATTCAGATCAATTTAAAGACAATCCACTGCATCAGAAGCAGCTTAAATGAGGATGGAGTCTCTGCTAAGGCTCACCCCTGCACCCTGACTCTTATTTTCATGATAGAATGCAGGCTTATAGACAACTGCTCTTTCTCAAAGGGACCTTGTTTGCAAACATGAACAAGCATTGCTTTGTTCTCTTGAGAGAAAAACAATACAGCATCAATCAAAGCAAAGCCACATACCCAAACCCGCTGCTGCAGCTGCTCATTCAAAACCGCATATCGTTCACGGGCAAACCAGGGTGCCTGCTGGGATGCTTGTGTATATCCTCTGCCGGCTCTTCAGAGCACCGCTGCAGGTTAACTCTTGAAGGCTGGAAGCTCTAACCCAGAAAGCCAAGGCTCTGTAACTTAACCACTTGCATGCTGGCTGACTCATTCAGCAGGCATGGTGCACCCTGCTGAGCCTGCTGATGGGTGAACCCTTGCACCATACTTGGAAGGTAACACCTAGAACAGTGTTTCTCAACCTGCACTTCGCGATGCTTTTGGTAGTAAGACCCTTTCACAGGGGTTATATATCAGATATTCTGCCTATCAGATATTTATTTTACAGTTATGAAATAGCAACAAAAATAATTTCGGGGGTGGCACTGCAACATGAGGAACTGAAATAAAGGGTCGAGGCATTAGGAAGGGTGAGAACCACTGCCCTAGAGGCTGTCTTTTTACACCATGAACAAACTTCATCATTTGCTCAGCTCAACCTGCTTATTCTCTTTGATTTGGAAAGCAAGCAGTTCATTCCCAAGGATATCAATTGCATACCGCAGAGACAAAATTAGACAATCATTGGAGAGACTGAAGTAAAGAGCATTTTGGATGAAGGTCATAAATTCTAGGAAAGAAGATGCCTCCAGTTTTCTGAACAGATTGTAACTTGGTGGAATCAAGTTCACATGTAGTAAACGGACCTTAGTAATTTGGAGAAACATATAAAGCCATATTTCCCATGATGCCTCTCCAGGCAACCCCCCCCCCCCCCAAACCAGCTTCTTGCAGTATTGCCTTTATCTACATAACAGTTACTAGGGCTCCTAGCAGGGCAGGTAGGGGAGAGGAAGATGCTACTCTTCTGAGCCTCTGGGAGTAGATTTACAAGTATGAAAAGCCAGAGACAGAAAGCAAAGCCAGCATAGGACCAGCTTTTGTTTTTGTTGTTTCCTTTTGGGCCTTTTCTTCTTGGGACAGGTAATCCTTGTGTCTTCATAGCCTCAACTCATGCCCATGTCCTGGCCTCAGACCTCTGGAGTGATGGTATTTCAGGAGTATGTCCATGCTTGGCCCTGGCTCAGGTCTTTGCAGTTTACCTTATCTCCCCCTCCCTGCCATGTCACTATACAGAAGATGAATTAATGTACCTAGAATTCCCAAGAAGACTGCTCCTTCTGGCTTCTAAGTGGGTTGCTGCATGAGGTACTGAGGCCTAAACCAAGCAAGCCCCTAGCTTTCTTCAGGCTACAGAGTCGGCTGAGGCCTCAGAAGGAAGTAAAAACCTAACTACAAAGCTGGCAGGTGTGACACGGTGTTTGCTAAAAAGTGAGGTATTAAAAGTAATCATCCCTCCATGGGAAGACGTGGACGCCCAACAGAAACTGTGGCTAGGGACTCCCTTTCTCCTCTCTGCCATCTGGAAGGGCAAGGGATGCCTTCTGAGGTTTATTATCTGCTAACTGGCTCCTAGGCTCCAAAGACCTCCTTTGCCTAAACTACATCTATCACCCTGGAGTCTCAAAGCTTCAGCAAAAGAGTACAATCCACCTGTGAAGAGGAGAGCATAGCCCGCCTGGGTAACAAGGAGGACACTCACAAAAGCAGGTATCACACAGAAGCTTGCCTCACGCCGGCAAATGTGCTGACCACTTTAAATGCATTCCATAAGAAGGATCACCAAACTGCCAGAAAAATCTGGGTTTCCTCCTCCTTCCCAGCCCACCCTAAGGTCAGGGCTGCCCTGTACCTGAAATCTGAGATAAGGGATATCAGAATCGACAAAATCGATCACACAGAGGAAGCTGAGGGGACCCCCTTATCAATAAAGTGACCAGAGGAGTCTGGGAAGAACTGAACAGGAGTGCCAGGATGTCTAATTTCAGTTCTATTGAGAAAGATCATAATTTCTTTCTCAGGTGTTCAGTAAAACTCACCATAGACCAATTTGGACATTTTAATTTTTGTCACCTGTAATTACTGTGACATGCGCATGGCTGGCCTCATTTCCTAATTCTTGACCTGGAGCCAGATGACAGGTGTGTTCAGCGTGTCAGCGTTAATGAGCATCATCACCTTTGAGTATGTGATACCTCAGAAAAGCTTATCTTTTTATCTTATTCTGTCAAGTAAAAAGAAAGTCTCTCTGACTGGAGCTAAAGTAACAATAACAATACATTAACAATGACAATGATGGATATTATTAGCCCAGCACAGAACATTCAAGGAGGGTATCCCAACTGTTTGTTATCCTCCGATCCAAGGACTTCTTAAGGATCCACATCTGGCCCTGCTAGAGGAACAGGGCACCTGTGTCCATAAACATATTTAAGAACAAGATAAACTTCCAAGAAGTTGCTCTAGGAAATTTCCTGTAAAATTAGATAAAATCTACCCCATACAGCCCATCAATTCACATCTCCATATTTATCCACAGGAAAACATACATACATGCACCACAGCCTGAGCACTGGATGTTTATGTAAGAATATTCTTGGCTGCTTAATTCATACCAATACTCACAAAGAGTTGAGCTGTGGCATGCTTGTTCAATTTGTTACTACTCCCTAACAGAAAGAGTGAATTGTGTACACACACACACACACACACACACACTTTCATGTGACTGTGATCCAAGAGTTGGCAGAAAGAACTTCAGAGAAGAATATTCATCCCAAGGTCCCTTGGCCCTATGCATTTGCACAGGATGTCATGGCATAGGGACCATGGTAGGGAAGCAGTATTCTTCTCCAGGGTAACCAGGAAGCAGAGAGAGAGAGGAAATGTGGACACTGAGATACCTTCCTCACTTTTCATTCTGTCAGGGTTCCGGTCTCATGGAATGGCACTGCTCAAAGTCAGCCTGGGGCTTCTCTGGCAAAGCCCTCATAGATACACCCACAGCTATGTCTGTAGAGCCATTTGCCACTTCTCTGAAGCAGAGGGAAAGAGGGAGAGAGGGAGAGAGGGAGAGAGGGAGAGAGAGAGAGAGAG